GTAATAAGAGAACCACGTGAAGCAGTACAATCCCCAGGGATTGCCAGGGGAGTGCTCCAGTCAACCGGGCTTTGCAAACAGGCAGGAGGACGTCAGCAAATGGAATCCTAAATATAAGCCATTGCTGATAGTTTAGGGCTTTTTGATCTCATCTAATCAAATGTAACAACAATGAATTTTATTGCTGTAAAATTGAGGAGAAAACACTAACAAAAAATAGCTCTACAGTTCTTCAAGCATGTTTTTGAATAAAAAATCATTATCATCAAGGCTACGCAGCAAGGGGGATGAGAAATAGGCAGCACTGCGTTTTTCTGATTGCCATTGTATTAATATTTAACAATAAATTCAGTCATTTCCTTGAAGGATAATTTTCTTAAGTAAACTTTTATCTTTAGCATCTAACCCTTTTGCAATATTTTATTCTTAACTGATTTCTGGGGGGAAAAAAGGGACAAACTGCGACAAAAAGCAGATTTATAAATATATACAATATCTTATTAGCTTCTAGGCGCTCACATACTTAAAACAAACTTGAGCTCAGCTAAGCCCAATTATAATATCTCGCTGGGCAGAGAAATTAATTAAACAGCTGAATGATAAAGACCCCAGCAGCAAATTGAGGCTGTAAAATAAATAAGATCGTTCTTTTAATTTTTTTGAGGAAAAGAAAAAAGGGAAAGAAAGAAACCTCTAATAGACATTTCAAACATTAATGTAACCAGCCTTTTCAGGAGTGCAGCACACTGTAAATAAGACTACCTGGCGGCAGAATGCAGTGGCAGCCCTAACGTGGCTTGCCAACTTTGTGTCTCGCTAATTCGCTAATGTGCAACACACGCACCGCTTTGCATCAACTTCAAATAACCCTGGGATCTCAGCAGTGCAGCTCAGCAACAACCAGAACAAGGGCAGAACTTGTCAGGATTTAAAAGCTTTCAGCAAAACCCTTCAATTGCAGCCGGTACCCTATTCCATAGAAGGATATCAATTATAGATAGTGACTTGCTTTAGCAGTGCAGTCGGTACTGTCAGACGCTAGATAGACAACCATGAAGAATCATGAATCTTTCTATTAACTGTAAGAGAAGGAGGGGGGGAAAGGAAGGATGGATAGGTGTTATAAATAAGGCAGAGCATCTGATGGTTTAACACCTTGCCTTTTGGTGCATGCATCATGAAAATTTAACCATGCTGAATTCTAAGTGGCTCATATCACCTGAAAATAAGAGCACCCGTGCCAAAATTTCACTGTCAGACCCTTCTGGGTGGGTCAATAATGATTCTTTTAGGTAGCTTTTCAGTTATTTATTCATAGCAGCTCAGGTTCTGTTCATAAATTCAGTCAGAAAACAATGGGACCAAAGAACACTTTCAGTGGCACCTACATTTTACACTAATAACTGCAGGACTTTGCTACAGAAATGCAGAAAATGATATCAAATGCTGACTACTGAAATTGCACAACATTGCAATTTCTGCTGTAAGGCTATACCACATATTTAGACACAGGTTTTGTTTGCCTTTACCATTTCATACATGCTATGTCACACATCATTTCATAATGCTGATTCAACTCCAGTTGATTTCAAAGTAAATTACGTCTCAAAGTTCCCCAAGAAATAACAATGCTATCCGTATACAACAGAAAGACCAGAATATACACAAACTCGTATTTACCTTTTTCAAAACACACACATATGTGCTTGTGTTTGCATCCCATACACAGTGGGAGTAATGCCATCTATACCATCAACTGTGTGCAGTGTGTATTGTGGAAAAGCTTTTTGAAGCTCCACTCAACCTGGGCATGACTAGAATTCATGTAGAGTTACCTAATCCTTCAGGAAACAAAACAAACAGCTAGAAATATACTTCCATCTCTTCCCTTAATACCACAGTTGCTCTAAAAGTTCAGTGCATTGGGAAGCAAGGCTAGGGTAACAGTCTGTCCCATGCCATTGGACATTCTGGATCTGATCTCTTGCTATTATGCATGGTTACAACTATACAGAAATAAGGCAGATGTTATCTGGATGAGTCTTGCTAGGGCAATTTTAGCCTTTATTACCTTTATATATGCCCCTGCCTTGGTGATTACTACTCCACAGCAGAACCAACAAACCCGGATGGTTATCTAAGCTTTTGACATCCTGTCCAGCATCTTACTTCCAAGCCTTCAAGCTCTTCAAGCTCAGCTGGAGCAGCTCAGGCCCTGCTTAATCTGCCAGTGGGCTGGGGATCACCAGGAGAGCAGCAGCATGTGCAGCCACGCGAGGCATGGCAGATCTGGCATCTGCTGCCAGATCAGGCAGCTCCTGACAGCATGAACGGCCCGACGGACGTGGCCCCAGAACCACAGGGTGAAAGACCTTGGGCCCGTGTCAGGTGCATTCCTCCTGCCATGCTTGAGCAGTGTCTGGCACTGTGAGGCCTCGGACTTGGCGAGGCCACTAGCTGCTACCAGAGTGTCAGGGCTGTGGAGCCAAGCGTGTGCATGGGCCCTGAGACACACACAGTGCCTGTGCCTGGCTTGGGCACACACATGCACATGTGACACACACAGCACTCAGAACTGTGCTGACTGATTGAAGCACAGCTACAGCAGTTTATATCTACTTGGATTTACCTACAGTATTTGGATAGGAGGCATACATGAGCCACACCACTTTTTCAGCTCAGATTTTCAAGGACCTAATGCTCCGGGACAGAACACTTTCTGCCAGAGTGACACACCTAAACAAAACCAGGACTGCCCTTCCATGAAGCCCTGCTGAGACCAGACTTCATATCCCTGGTTGCTGCAGATGTACATCAGAGGGCTGTGGCAATCAAGGGCAGACAAAATGTGCAAAAGGCAGACTGGAGTGAGTGGCCAGGCTTTCAAACAGAGTTAGATGTCTAAAGCCCTTTGCAATTCTGGGCAGAAATAACTCGCTCAGGTCCCCACAGCGGGGCTCTGCCGGAGCAGCAAAAGAAATCACAAACCGTGGCCCCATCACTGAATCCTGCTGACTCTTACAGCATGATTTGTGCTACTTAAATGTGATGGTTGCCATGATGAATTTATTGTCTTCAGGGTATAGAGTCAAGTCTTGTACCTTGTAATCTAAACACCATCATAACACACCTGAATCCTGAGCCCTGCCAAAAAGAGCTCCGTGTCATAGAAAAACTTTTCCATATTATTTTTCTATGTCTAGAGAAACTTGTTTCAGATGTTGACATTGTTCAGAAGCATAAGAAATATGCTTTTTTCAGTCTTGCTGTTGACCATTAAAATGCAGGCAGATTTGCTATAAAAAGCCCACCAAAACCAACAAATTAACTTTAAAATTACACTCCAGAAGAACTAAATTACCACCCTGTCAATTTAATTCACTTCAAAATACAAAACACAAACTATTAGCTAACATGCTCAGTGGACTTCCATTAAATTTTACACCTGGAACATCAAAAATCCTCTTTGTTTATTGCTAAGGGTATCTTTATTCTGAATTTCTCTTTTATTTCATATATTTTTGTGTATATTATTTATCATCATCAGTGGGATAATTTCTGAATACTGAAAGGTTTCCCAGGCCTCATAAAGTTTCAGCGTTACAACTGCTAGCAGATATAAAGACTGTGCCTATGCAGAGCCCCATATGATGTCCTTTAGTTTGTTTGCACAGATTCAATTCAAAGACCAACATTCGATCTTTTAATTTAAATGTGTCAAACCACTTGCAGAAACCATTCGTATGGCATTTCTTCCCCAAAATGTAGTGTGACACCAAAACAGTTTCTCCTCACATTTAAGTTTGGCCTACTCAAATGCTAGGGAATTACATGTGCAAAATGTCTCAAAGAATTCTTGGAAAAATGTCATATTTTGCATAGTCTTTCATTTATCATTATTGTTGTTACTGCTGCTGCGACTACTACTTAATAATAACAAGAACCTGAAAATACATCTTGATGAGCAATTGCAACACCAAGACGTTCTCACACTCCAGCAAGTGAAAGCTGACATTGATTTACTAAAGTCAGCTTTGCAGGATAACCTTATCATTTGGCATAGTGTTTGGAAATATATGGTAGATTTGTTTTTATTTATTTTGGGTGAAAAAGTGGATTTTTCAGCTAGTTATTTCAGAAGTACTAGCCACATTCTCTAATAGATTTTGCATGATCTCCAGTAAGGTATTAAACAGTTTTCTAAACTAAATACAATTTTGTCACACTGCTCATTTGCTGAGGATGTGCCTCTCTATTCTGTACTAGGAATTCAATTTTGTTTCAGAGTATTCAATATGTTCTATGATACCAGTAAATAAGAGTGGTTAGAACTGCAAGGGATTGTACTTGTCATACTGTAGTCTGAATTTTGATTGTTCACTTTCTATCTTACAATACTACCAAACAGTACAGATTGTTTATTTGGGAGAGGTGGCAGAGTGGAAAAAAACCCAAGGGAGACAGAATTAATATTTGGTGTAGCACAGAAAAGATTATACAGTTTGCTTTTGCTAAAATGACTGAAGTAACTCAGTTCCCATGTATTTAGCCAAATTCGGTTTACAGACAACAGTAAATTGATAGCAAAACCTCTCTCAGGGAAGGGAAAAAATTCCCCTCACCCATTTCTACTGTTACAGGCCCTTTGGGGAGAAAAAAATCAAACTTGGCTAAAGGTTAATAATCATTCATGTCCAGCTTACTATTACTCAATAACTATCAAAGTCTCTAACTCAAAATAACGTTTGCTGGCTTACAGGATCAGAGCCATTACAATCTCTGTGGAAGACTTTATTGAATTTTACACTAAGCTTTAGCTGACTGAACAGGTCAAGCGCTGTGGCTTCGAGTTTTCTTTATTCTCAGAAACTCATAAACCCCTCTCCAGTTTGCAGCTCTGTTAGCTAAGAAACTTGACTCAGAATAGGGTCAGAGAAGCTGACCCCCATGAAAAAGGTCACATAGTTTTAAAACCTAGTTCCTGAATACCATTAACTTACATGCACTAGCTGTTCCTGTGTGTCAAACTCCCGGGAACAGCCTTCCCAGTGGCAGTTTGTCTCATAGACCACTTCAGGCTCCTGTTTGCTTTCATCTTTGTCCCCTTCCTCTTTTACCAAGGTCATTCCTTCTGGCTGTTCCTGGAGAGAGGAAAAAAACAGGGGTGAGAAGAAGAGAGTGGAAATTCTGAAACTGAGGAGGAAGAAAAGTGAATTACTTCAGCATTAAAAGAAAGATGATGGGGGGGTGTGTGTGGCTGTGTGTGTGTAGGAGGCAGTGGAGGGAGGATTATTTTACTCTCACTTCACTATCCTACTCCATTCTACAAAATACAGAAGCCCAAAACAGGCCTGATAAGCTAGAAGCCATTGCAAACTATGTATGTAAAATAAATTCTTCGTTCCCTTTACATTTCAATTAAAAATAAATCACAATGGCCTGGCTTCCCTTACACTTTATTTAAACAGCTTGTTATTTGTTATGAAAGCAGCTGGCTTTCATGATTCAGTGGCACCACTAATGTGAAAGGCACTATTCAATATAGTTGAATTAATTGGAATTTGATTTTAGTACTAGGGTTGGACAGAAATTGGATCACCCGTAATCCAGTGTGTTTCCATTGTTAGAATAGTAACAGGTTTGCATGCTAAAACCTTTCCAAGAGCAGACTGGTAATTATTGAGTTACTTGTTAGCCTGTTCTTGTCCTTAACATGTGCATAAAAGGGGTGAGCAGGGAGGGGACAAAAGTATTTAATTTAGGGGTTAGATTTCCCACTTCCAGTTCATCAGGGTGCCTCATTCTCCCCAGCTTATTTGCTGAGGGTAAGAGTCAGATGTTAGTGTAAACATTTGGTTCAGATTATGCACTCCTGCAATTTTTCCATTTCAAACATGCTGAAGGATTTAGACAGATCTCTGCCTTGTTTTCATGGAATCACTCACAAGACTGAGGCTCTTATTCTCATCTCCCCTGAGTCACTGTAAATCAAGAGTCACTCTACTAAAACCAGTGGCATTAACTGGTATAGAAAGTACAGCAAACAAGACCGGAGCCTAGCACAGGGGCCTCAGTGCAGTACAGTGCTAAGAGCCAGGAAAAGTCAAGGCTGCCTTAAGTATTTCTGCTGAACAGAAAACATGTCCTTAATAAAGACCTGAATGTCTCTTGTTCACTTTTTTGTGGCAGAGCATTGAGCATGCTCTGACTGGTCAGAGGTGCCGCTCCATCAGCCTCCTTCCTCTCTGCCCTCATCCTGCCACAGACCTTGCACCCCAGGAGCTGCTCCTATTTAACCCTGGCTACTGCGAGCGGAGGCTGCCCATAGCACACAAGGTGCAAGGAGTCTGAAAACGTGTGTGTCACAGGAAAGGTGCATTTTCACTCTAGTAGCAAGAGGGAAGGCTCATGACTGGAATCTGGCTGCCATACCTGCATGCTTCCTGCTCCCGGGCTGGGGAGGTCCTCGTCAGGCTTTATCTTGGAGCGCTTGTTGTGCATGGGGTCTCCTGTGCTGCTCACTGCAGATTCACTTGTGGGTTTATTCTGCTGCAGGTAGGTGGGGATTTTTTTTCCCCCAGAAGAAGACAAAATTAGACTGTGATAAACATGTGGCTCCAAACAAAAATAGGTAACATCTGCTCACCAACTTTTTATGGACAAGCTGCACTGTTAATTATATTGGATATGAAATAACATTGTTCTCCAATTACACAGCATTAACTCATGGAAGAGCTGCATTGCTCAACCTTGTATCAGAGCAGGGAAGGAGTGGGAAGGGGAGCATTTGATGCAATTCCTTGCTACAAACCAATGCTGCTTTTGTCAGAGCCATGAGAGGTAGGAAGAACTTGATTTTCCACATAATGACAACTTTGGAAAGGCAATTTGAAAAGGAAAATCCCCGCATGCTCAAAGAAACACAAGAGAAACATTTATTTTTTCACATGTGAAGGAAAGGTTTTGTATTCAGTATCTTCACACAAGATCTCAGCTTCTTCATTATGTTTCCCATTATAATGGGTGGACAGGAAGAAGAACTGAGTGCTAGTGTGAGACTTAGCCAAAAAATCCTAGAAGAAGTCCTAGATTCTCACAAGTTAATAGCAAAATAGTTGATGTAAACAGGCCAGAATCTTGTTTTTCTCTTGTTCTGCTTGGCTGAACACCATTATCTACACCTGCAAATGGATCTTGTAGGAATCCAGAGATCTTTTAGAGATATTTGAACTTGCAGGGACCCCACAAAAAAATCAATATGTTTTCTACAGCAGTACGTTCTTCCTCTGCATTTGTAAAAGCTAGCCAGGAGATAAACAGCTTCCAGACTGATAAATAACCTATCCCAGGTCATCTAGAAACAAACAGCACTAGTTAATAACAGGCAAATCACAAACCATGATAAACTCCACATTAGGGGCCTGATTCACTGCTGCTCATTCCCTGCTTTCAAGAATACACCTTACTGAAATGATTAATCCAAACTCAGTACGTCCAATTTGGCACAAATCAGAGAAAAAAACCTTCAATCCTCTTCGCTGTCTTTGAGTTACTTTCTTGTTCACAGAATTACTTGCTTCAGGTTACTCACAGCTGTACAAGGAGGGCAGAATATGGCCCTGTATATCCTAGGCTCAGCCTGATTTGAAGATGAAGATGCTAACCTTTAAAATATTGCTGTTTTACGTGTTTTGCCCCTTTTCTTACTCCCCACCTCTACTAGGTTCCTGTATAAGGTCGAGGAGAGGCAGTATGGAACGAGAAGCTGCTGCAGTAGACTGGAATATTTATGAGGACTAAAAAGGACACTACCAATCAGGAACTGCACCAACTGCACTCCTGTGATTCATAATAAAGGGACTGCAAACACTGGAGCTACAAGGAAACTGTTATCAAAGGGTCTCAGTGACAGTGGTGATTAATTGCCATCGAGACAATGCCATTTATTTAATTTTTAAATTAATGGGGAGTAAAGGTTTCTTTTGTTGTCTCTCACCTGTGTGGACTCAGAAGGTCCAGAGCTGACCTGGACAGGGTTCAGGACACTGGGGATGCCAGGGATAGGTCTCTGGGTAGGAAAAGTTGGAGCAGGATGGATGAGTGGAGGGCTGTGTCCAAAGGCTGAACCTAGGGTTTGCTGACGACTTATAATTTGCTGATGCATTTGCTGGAGGGATACTGGTGTAGGAGGGTATGTGAAACTCAGAGCAGGGCTGAATTTGGGAGAAAAAGGAGGGAAGAGGGAGGAAAAAGATGAGGATCATTACAGTAAGGAACTTTACAGATTAAAACTTTAAGATATATTTGAAATCTTTAAACTACTTGAAGCCAGATTTCCCCCTCCCCCTCATATCCTTCTTCACGCCCCAAAGGATGAGAAATCCTGATTTTAAATCCAGAGTTGCCCTGGATTTACTAGTGAGTACAAAAATGGTACCATAACAAAACATAACATTTTTTCCTAACCTCTACCAGGAAACCACAGAAAGCTGACCAAAATAAAATCCAGAAAAACTGAAATAAAAGGCAGGCAGTTCAATATCAACTATTTATTGCAATAACAAACTTTATATAAAGAAAAAGAATGGGTGCCTACATGCTTTATAGTACTTTTATTGATAATGCAGTTCCCCTGTGTTCGTGTGTATGAAGCAGTTCCTTTAATCTTGGCTCATGCTACGCTTTTTCATATGTCTCTAGATCTTATTACAAGAGGAGAGAAAATCAATTGGTTAAATGTCTTCTGAACACCATGCTTGTCATATCACTCATTTGTTTGCAAAGATGGAAAGCTCAGTTCATCCAGAATGTCACCTAAAGAATTTCCATCAGTGCTGTTTGGTTACAGAAACTGATGGATTAACCTTTCCCCTCTGAAATTGGTGATCAATGACTTCCAATGTAGAAATATTCCAATAGGAAAGCACTTCTCCTTCTTCCAGTTAAACAACATTAAATGTCTATTAAAGCCCATTATGTATGTTAATACCTGTCATCACTTCATTACTTCACCGTATTTCTCAGACCACAGTGACTTAGGGGGAAATTACACTGTCATCTAAGGACCTATTTTGTGGGTAGTGCAAAAGCATTCTTTGTGTCACACTTGAGAAATAAATGATATGGAACTAAATCTTCAGACACAGGAGTAAGAGATCCTCCTGTAAATATTTGTCAATAACTTCCAATCATAAAGAAAAAAAAAACACAAAAGAAGAAAAATAATATTAATTGATTTAAAAAAATACACTGCACTACCAGAGTTCAAAAAAGCCACAGGAATATAAAACATTTTGTCTCAAAACAGAGAGGTGCAGGCATTATACCTTCCAAGAATCAAGGCTTCTTCTAATGTCAAATTTGTCCAAATTAACAGTCTGGAGTCTTAACTGCTGTTGCTGTTAAGTGCATTAACTGAAAATACTGTGATACACAAAGCCAAAATAATTTCAACGATTTTAAGTAATAATTCTAGAGAAATTCTGTGTTCATTAATATGACTATACATTTTACAGTCTGTTTGACTATAATCCATAAAAGGACAGCTTCAATGTGATTACATTACTATTATTCCTGGTGAGAACTCTGCATTACAACAGTTTGCCCATTTAGGATGGAATATCATTAAGAATACCCTGGGAGAATTTTACTGGTCTTTGAGGAACTCTCTTTTCATTCTGCATTGTATTCTTTCTAATAAAGGGAGGCAGAAATGTAGTGAAAACAGTAATTGTTCACAGCAAGAGTTAGGGAGAAATCAGTAATAATATTCAGTTATTGAAGCTCTATAGTCCCTGCTAGTGTTCCTGTAAGCAACCATGAATGATTACAGCACCACTTAGCTAAGGTAGCCACTATGGATGATTAATAGGACATTAATCAAAAGATGCATATCAGGCTTAGAATTTGTTCACAAGCTTTCTTCTAATAGCTGATTTCATGTTCACTGAGCTCTATGCCAGTTTGTTCAATTTATTCTTCAGTGTACAAGCCATTCATCAAAGAACATAACGATTTAACACCCCTTTTTCTTTTTAGTGAACAAACATTGCTAAGTGTAACTACCCTGGTCTGTTCATTAAAAACCACACAATTACAGTGCCACAGATGAGGTTGAAAACAAAGCCTCTTTACTATACCCTGGTGTTTTCTGCTTCCACGCATACACTGTGAGTTCACCTCATACACTCAAACACTAGACGGCACCATTCTGAAGATGCTGTCAAATTCACCAAGATCAACAAACATGACACACAAACAGTTTAGATGAGGTATTTTATTTCTCTGTGAGTGGTTAAATCCTAGGACCCTTTCACCCTTCAAATGAGTCAGTTTAAAAGAAAAAAATAAGTGGACTGATTTCATTGGCAGTTGCAAGCACACAGCAGCCTTTGGAAATACAGGTTGAGTTTTGGGGTTTTTTAGACCTTTTTTTTCCAATTGACCATGCACAACAATACCTATCTTTGCAAGTCCAGGTTCAAAACTTTTGTAAGGTCCTTCTGGCCCTACATGGTAAAAAGACAATTGTATGACTCTAGCAGTGCAGTGCTTAAACATGAAGTAAGTATACTTGCCATTTCCCTTCCTATATAAATTAAAATGGCCTCCACCAAAAGCATAGATTTTACCTCCTGGAGATGTTCTTGTTATCTACATCTGTCTTCACACTGTACAAGCAGTATCCAGAAAGAGGATGCTAAGACAGGCATTGACAAAATTGTAAAGTACAGCAGAGGTGACAGACATCATCTTAGCAAGAGGTTCTTACTGGAAAGCAGTGACACCAGCAGCAGATACATTAAAACACAGCTGGACAGATGTGCTAGGGGAAGGAGGGATCCTTTTTTCTTTAGTATTTTTCTTTTACCCTGTGCTCATCAGCAATGTTTGAGTCTAAGGGACTAGGATTTTCCTATGGAGCCTGAAAACCTGCACTTCATTCCCTCTACCTCCAAACTTCAGACATCCCAGAATGAAATGAAAAGGTGATTGTGAGGGAACAGAGGAATAGCCAGCACAGCCAAGGGGAGTAACTCAGAAATGGAGACAATCATGGTGACTTCTTAAATAGCTCAGGTAGCTGCCTTCAAATAACAATTCTCTCCAGCTGTTTCTGGAGAGTTCCTCATAAGGCAAGTTGACCTGGCTGGGTTTAATGTCACTCGCATGCAAGATGTTGTCACTGGGCAGCCTGGAGGATTTTTCTGATTTGAACAGATCAGAAGGTTCTGAAGAGAACAGAAGGTGGTAGGTCTTTCTCTGCCTTTCAGAAACCATACAATAAAGTTAATGCTAAGGGCCAAGAAGAAGAAAAAATAAATCAAAGCTCTCAACATTGCTGGCATGGCGTGCTCTACTGGGAAGGGAAGGCCTGGATTCCTGCCCTCCTTCCCAAAGTTTTTCACAGCAAGTTTGTTCAGCAACTCCTGAATACAGGATGGATGGGGAATCTGTAGTGCAGAGCCCCATGTGATCCCTCTGCCTTGACCAGCAGCCATATGTCCTCCTGCTGGCCCTACCAGGCTCACACTGCTTCCCAGCCAGGCGGCCATCTTCAGCAGGAACAGTGGACAGTGGCACCAGCTGCCCTTGTCCAGTTGTTCCAACCATGTCCACTTATAAATGTGCAGCGGTGTCACTCAGGAACCACCTAAAATTCATGCCCAAAAGTAGTAAACAAGACCTGAAAGTAGTAATTTTGAGACTCTGGAATGACTAAAACCAACAATCAGTTTTTCAAAAGCAATGAGTAGTTCCAGAGGCCTCATTTTGAGTCATGTTTCTTTTAAGATAGTTTTAAGAGGCTGCATTTCAAAAAAGGAGAGCTCAAGACTTCCAAAATCCAGATGTCAGAAGAACACGAGACTCCTGTCCCAATTGGTCATGTTGACACCAGCCATTTCCAAAAAATCTCGGACTCAAAGAAATGTAAATGAACTTGAATCTTTTCCTTCCATCTACCTACTGAGATATGAAAATTTACACCACTGGAGGGAATTTCATTTGTATTTCTGTTACAGACTTTTAAACAAAATAGAAAAGAAGATGAAAGCATATATGGCCACTAAAAATTACATGCCAGTTATCTTTTTAGTTGTTGAGTTTTATGAGGAATAAGGGTTAGAAGAAATATGTAAGATTTCTGCTTAAGCATTCAATAACTCATATACACTGACAGAAAAGTCCATCAGTGATAGCATTCGTTTTACCATACTGTGGGCTTCTGTGTCTCTCTGTCAATCTGTCTTGTCTGTCTCTCTTCTCCTCATCTGCAAAGTCTCAAACCTCCTTCACTGGAGGTAATGCAGGGCAGTGGACTACATTGCAATTACATGAGCACATCAAATTTTAAAGAATAGACTTCGAGAAGAAAAACAGACGTTATAATCAAAACCAAACTTCGTGGCTACTTTGTGGCTGTCCTGCTAACAAGGTTGTCCAGTTTCTGGTCACAGCTGCAGAATTTACCACAAAACATCTGTGAATTAAATCCTTCTATCCTATACATTTCATAGGTGTGCCTAAAGAGGCAAAAATGCTGAGGAGATTCCAATTTTGTGAATACTGCAAGGATTGTCTTGCTGTATCACAGCAATTTTCTTCCCAAAAACTCTGAAGGCACCCCCTTTGGGTTATAAAATGCAAAGTTCTGCAAGATCTGATGCATGGAAATCTTGCACAAATATCTTAGGACAAGAATTTCCCAAACATGTTAATGAGGGAGCATTTAATGGAAGACATAGGTGAACAACTTGAAATTTCAAGAGTGAAAAAAAAAGCATTTGTGGAGTTTTAGAATAGCTGCAGACATAGCCAGCAGGTTCATGTGTGACTAGACAAGTCCAAAGACAACCAGTTCATAAAGAAATACTGAAGGGAACAAATAAGAGTGTATACTTTGGGATTGCTAACCTAAAGATCATTGACGCTGGGAGAGAACTAAGAGAACAAAAGTGAACAACAGGGGGATTCATGTGCTTCTTAAACAAAATCCCCTGTTTGCACCATGAGAGACACACTAACTAGAGTAACACCTCTAGTTTGACCCAGCAGGACATTTCTGATTTTTTTCATTTTTTTCTTCATTTTTAAACTTCAGAAAAATAAATTTGTTTCCTTGGGGTATCTTTATTTAATCATATAGAAGCACATTATGTTTACCACATTAAAAGTTTGTTTCCTGTCCTCTATCTTAAATATTTCCTGTGTC